AACTACATTTTCATGCCTTGGGATTTTCCTCTGTGCCTCTGTTCTCTGAATGTCTGCATCACCATGGGCTGACCTCCACAAACTGGCTTACAAGGCCAACACCCCTACTCCTTCCTGTGCTTTCCTTTGGTCTTTCCAAAGACCTTTAGCTCCACCCACACAATGCTTTTTCTTCTTCTTCTTCTCAGGGGTGCAGGGTGAAGAAGATGAACTTAAAGATGGGCCATCAGAGTTAAAATTTCAGTTCCATCCCTCAAGAGCTGTGACACCCTGGGTAAGCTACTTTGTCTCCTTAAGCATCCACTTCCAAATCTTTAAAATAGGAACATTAACAGTAATTGCTTCATGCAGGGCTTTGAGGATGAAATGAATTTACCATAACAGTAGTTAACAGAGTAAGTGGTCAACTGACTGGTAGTTACAGAGTAAGCGCTGAAAACGTTAGCTGTGGTTAGCCACACTGAGTCTATTGGGCCCTGGAAAGATGCCCACAAGTACAAAAAACCTATGGCATTTCTGGGGGAGTTGGGCAGAGGCCAATGAGCTTGAGTATGGCATACCTGCTTAAGGGTCAGAACTATATACTGTGACAACACATACGTCTTCAAAGGGAGTCATTTGTCCTTGCAGATCAAAAACACCATCTTTAATATTCAGCAAGGCTTTCTTCCAAAATCTTCAAATTATGGGTGTGCATTTATTATTCATGCATACACAACATCCTCCCAAACTGCTACAGTCAGACATTACTTGCAATTAGTTACATATTGCTGAAGTTAGCAAAAGCCCTCAGGGGTGCTGGTGACTTAGGATCACCAGGCACACCTGATTTTCCTGAAGAACCCACCTCCGAGGTTGGTGGGTTCCCCCTCCTATATCCCAGTGGGAATCTTGAGGTGACACCGGATGCCTGAACATAGACTCCTAAACCAAAGCATTTTGTTAGCTTTGCCATGTGATAGCTTTCTGAGTACAAACACCAATTTACTCTCTCAGGCCTAGTTTATTTAACTTTCAAATGTACAAAGCTTCTAGTTCAGTCTCTGGAACCAAAGGAGTACTTACAAATGCCTTTTGGTTTACAAATACTTATCTATCTGCCTGCTTCCTCACCTCTGTATGTGGATATCTACTTGGACATTTCAAATTTATTATAACTCACAGCAAACTGTTGACCTTCCCCTTTACCTCTTCTTACAGTCTTCTGTTTCACCAGTGCCACTGTGCTTACCAGCCTCCTTGGGTCAATTAACTCTGCTCTCTCCCTCCCTGATAATTTTAACTTCAAAATGTGTCCCTAATGTGATGACTTCCTATTATTTCTGTTCCCTCAGGGTCTGTAACAGTCTCCTAAATGGTTTCATTGCTTCCTTCTATCCTCAAAAGGAGAAGCCAAGATGACCAATTAACCATGAAGCAGGTCAAGTCATGCCTTCACTCCTAGGCTGCAATTTACTGAAAGGAAAGGCAGTTTTTTCTCATGGTCCTACAAACAAGGTCCCCCTGATGGGACCTCATCAACCCAGCCCTCTCCTGGGATCACTGGGTTCTGTTCTGACATCCATCCTGTCTCTCAAACAGTCCATAAACTTCATGCTTGCTCCTCCTGTGAAAGACACTAGCCTAGTCCTCCTCTAGACACACATGCTCACTCCCTGGTTCTCTCAATTTCTTAGAGTCCCTGATTAAATGTCTACCCTATCTGAATATTCACACACACACACACACAGAAATTAATTTCTTCTGTAATTTCTTTTATAGCACTAATCACAGTGTAATATACTATACATTTCACTTATTTATAATCTGCTTCTCTCTAGGAATAGGGCCTGGGTTGTTTTATTCTTATAAGCCTCTCAATTGTCAGAAGAAGTAGTTCAGTAGCTATGATTAAAAAGATAACTCCTGATTTGAGCAATCAATGGTATATCTGTTTTGTTACTAAGAATTAATGGCTCTGAAAACTTGCCTGTGGCTGGCATAGCCTGGCTAAGGGTACAGTCTGCTGAATGGGGAGGGAGGGAATCAGCCACTGAGGTGAGGTTAAGGTCAAGGGAGCACATGAACACCTCCCTGAAGCAGGAAAGAGCCATTGATGGTAGAGGCTGGCATGGATCTATTTAGAACAGCTTCTTGATAGATTCTGTACCCAATGACACTGGGGACAGAAGGAATCCACAGCACCATTAAGAAATCAAGTCTGTGTGTGATCTCAATACAAGAAACACTGCAGCCCCACCCAACTAGCTGTTCTAAGCCAGAGAAAGATGAACAAGACAAACTATATCAATGATACTCAAAAGGTTACAGTAAAAGATGTCAAGAGCAACTGCTTTGATAGGAGGGAATTTCCTTTCGGACCAGAACATTCTGTATTTATGTGTCTGTCCTAAGACGATTTCTTCCTGTTTCATGACCAAATAGTACTAGTATACAGGAAAATAAATCAACCACTTTTCAAAAAAAACAAAACATACACATACACACACAGAGAGGTGCACAAAGACATACAAAAGACTGATATATGAAGAAGGGAAGAAAACTTTAGCGGTTTCTGCTCCTTTACTGGTGATAGATGGGAATGTAATGCAGTCTGCCCTGTCTGGAAGCTTCCTGAGTGAAGGTGGCATGTTCTAGACACTTTTAAGGAACAGTGGCATTTAATAAATCCCTCTGTGCAGTGGGCACCTAACAAATGCTAGAAATAAAGTAATAAAAGAATGAACACATAAAATGCAGCCAATTAACTAAGCTCTTTACATCCAAGAGTTCCCCGTACCTGTCCAGACCTTGGCCCATGCACTCTTCTCAGTCCTGGCTACTGCCCTGAACCTCAGCTCAGGGTCCTCCAGATCCAAGTTCTTGGGCCAGGTACAGGAGCCCCAATGCCTTCCTTACCTCCCAAGGGTGATAATGGGTGATATGCAGCCATGATTATTACTGTTGTTGCTATTGACAGAGCCCTGTGAGCACTATGGCTACAACAGAACAACAGAAGAAAGGTGATTTCCCCCTTTAGTACCGAAATTTCTGATCATCTGCCCCAGTGACTTTGCTGAGTTCCACTGAGAGCTCTTAATGTAGGCTTCATGTTGAGTTCTTGGGAAGCAGGCTGAGATGGAAATCAGCACACAGATTTATAAGCGAGACACCTTGGAGACAGCATGAATGAAAGGAAAAGGCAGTGGGAACATCAGGCTTGGAGGTAGTCTCCAGAGAGAGCCACAGCTGATCCTGCAGGATCCCACTGCTCATTAGTTAATCTATGACACTGGATACCCCAGGAAGGAACTTGGCCCTGAACAAGGCTAGTCTCTTCAACTGAGGCCATAGACAAAGAGTGCTGATGCTTAGAGCCTTCCCTCTACAGGCAGAACTTCTAATACCTGAAGGAAGTTCTTCTCTTTCAAAGGGGGATGTGCACATGTTACCCCCACAAACACCCTTCCTACCTACCATGAGAGAGCATGATTACCACCTCCCTTGTGATTCTTCCCAGTGATTTCTTACCCCCACCTCTAGGCCAGTTGACAACTCTCACAGTTTCTTTATCCCTTCACTCATTTCCAGAGCTGGGCACATTGTCTGATATCCAATAGTGATGCACTACATGCCTATAAAATAAATGCATCACCAAACACTGAACAAGAAAAAAATGAGAGGGGAACTTGGAAAGATCAGCAGACAGGAGCCAAGGCACATGCCTGCTGATCTCAGGTCTGTCCCCAAACCCCACATCCTTCCACATTTCAGTTTTGTTACATTAGTAATAAAAGGTCAGCTGCTAACATTCTATGAAGAAGAGATTAGAGAGCTGAGACACACTCAGTTTTCTCGATTGGTTAAGTGATGTCTTTATTAGCATCTCTACCGACCCATATAACTATTGACCTGAACAAGGCAAAACTTTCTAGGGGCCAAGATGTCATCCACATCATTTGCTAAGGACTTTCTCCAATTAGTCCAGAGCTAAGAAGTCCCAGAAGGAAGCAGGGAGTGACTCTCTCTGTCCATGAACAAGAGCGGAAACCAACAGGAATGTCCCGTGATTTAAGAAAATGATGTCATTTAAAATCATTAAGTGGTTCTTCCCCTTTATAAGACAAGGAGCTCAGAGAAGAGGCACAGATATTTAAATATAGAAGCCAGAGTGCAATTTGAAAAACTGAAATAAGAAATAAAGAAAAAAATAATACATCACATTACCAAATTTTTCTTCCAGTATATTTGTCCAACACAGGAAAGAATTTAAAGAATAATGCAATTTTAAAGAAGTCATCTGGGAGTAGGCTATTGAAATACTTCAGAATTTGTGCTAACTTGACACATCTCTTGTGCAAAGTTTAACATTAGAGTTAAATACACCTGTTGGGCTCATAATTTCCCATCAAACATTCTCATATACCTTATGGTAGTGATGATATATATATATATATATATATGTATATAAGATATAATAATAGCTAGGAAGAAACCATCCAAATAAGAAGAAATGTTTTATAAAGCCAAACTTACATAATTCCTTTTAAACATAAACATCATTGTTAATGAGAGCAAAGCCTATAAGAACATTTCAAACACTCAATAATCAATACCCATTTCTACCACCTCATATGCTTCTCTGGCAATCAAATTATCATTTGATAAAAGAGAAAAATCCATAAATGCACGTCTCTACACAACTATGTCAACACTCAATTATCTGCATACAAAATATAGACATTTGATATTTACTGGTTACAAAATATCCTTAATTAGAGTCTATGAACATGATCTTACCTCTTCATTTCTTAACGAAATGCAAATTCTAGCTTTAGCCTAACAAATTTCAAATTGTAATAGAGTTGACACTTAACAATATTTGTAATTCCTTATTGACTTCATGCTTACATGAGTTGAAGTCATCTTTCAAAAACAATACAAGGGCTAGGAATGGAGTTCAGTGGGAGAGTGCTTATCTAGCATGTACAAGACCATAAACAAAAATGAGCTGCAGTTACCTTTGAACTTGTGGAACACAGCCCACAGCTCCGCAATGTCAGTGGCAAAGGTGATATCAGTGTCGAGAACAATGACTCTCTCCAGGTTGGAAGGGAGTGTCTTGGTCAGTACAAGCTTCATAAGGCCATAAATCCCAGAGTAGTGTTTGTTGGGGATCCAGGACACTTCAGACTAGACAGGGAAGGGGAGAAAGGACATTGGAAAAAGGAGAAAAAACTCATTACATTAATTCTTTGCTTAAACGCTATAAATCATGCCTGACACATGAAAAGGATCCATTGCAAATTTGTTGAATAAACGAATGAACATTTTCTTAAAGATTTCTTAATGTAAGTTTGGCACATGAATGAAGAAAATGTATCTGCATCAAGACAGATGAAAAGTAATAGTTATGAAGCAATTAATTATTACATGCAAACGCTATAATACACAAAAGGAAGATTTGAAGGTATAAAAATTTATTCAGATTTTGCGTACTTTTAAAAACCAGTACCTAACTGCTAGGTAGGTATATTTCTTTAAATCATATTCCATTTGTAAGCCATTAAGGATTATTCGGTATTATGATATTTTTAAAGCTTATGCTTATCTATATTTTTAAAGCTGTTAATGACTGGGTTAGTGCTGCTGCCTTCTTTCCTCTCAGATAAATGCATAAGGAGGACCAAGTTATAATCTATGCAATGCTCTTCACCTGATGACAAGAGCGGACACACAAGGAAGACAGAAATGAACAGTTTGGGGACTGCTGATATTGTGATGCTCACATGACATAATGGAACAATCAGCGACCCATGGGTGTGTAGAGTTGTTAGCAAGACCTACGTATAAGTACCACTTAGTAACCCAATGCAAGGCCAAAAGCAATACATCACGGGTGTGATGAAAACTCCCTTATGTGCAGGGTCATTTCTGAAGGTCATTATGGGCAGGAGCAACAGGAAGCTTTCATGGGAGCCAAAGCACAGACTTTATTTTCAATAGGATTAACACAGGTAATAGATCCTTTAATGGAAAATGAGGCCACTTTTTAGGATTCGGGAAAGATACTCATCTCCTTTATCCTTATAAGTCCATTCACATGATCTTGGTCTTTAAGAAAAACAAGTAAATTAAAATTTAAAACAAAATACCAAGGTTTAATTCCCATAATATTCATCATGTTATAAAAACAACCATGCAAATGCCCCAAGCAGAGCCAATGAAAGGAGAGCATGGTTTTATCTGATAGCACTCTATGAAATAGTTTAACACGTGTAGACTAAGATGTAATAAAAAAAGAAACCTATATATGATACTAAGATAAAAAAAGCAAGCTTTATATTTGATTTTGTTTACAAACCCCCTGTGCTGTCAAACAACATGAAAACACACTTATCCATATTTTTGGGAACCTCTCCCTTTATGTATAATATAGCAGAGCAGAGTAGAGCACAGTATAACATAACCTAATATATAGGATGGTATAGTACGTTATAACATAACAGAATATACAAATCTCTCTATATACTTGCTTTAACTGGACTACAATTTTCAACCTATTAATACAAGCAGTTCTGACTGCTGTATAGAGAAAGTAAGCAGAACATTCTTTTTAAAGATGTCATGATCTGTTTAAACCTATCATGATCTGGCGGTGTGAGAAAAAAGGAGCATGGGAAGGTGACTTAGGAAAGCCCTGAGAAAGGACTTGTGATAACTCTTACAATCCACTGCATCTCTCAAACCCACTCCATATTATCATTATATCTTCATAGCTTACTTTAAAAATCATCTTAGCTATTCCCTATTCTCAGTTTTGCAATGTCCTTTGCTTGAACTAGTATAATTTTGAAGAGAAAAAAGGAAACACCCAGATGAGCTGAACTATTCACCATGTATCCATCAAAGGGAAAGGATCACCAGCTCCATGTGGTCCCTGTCACCTTGAACCTGGGCAGCTCAGAGGAGGAAAAAAAGAGACAGGAGTTCAAATTGCAGCTCCAGCCCTGCAGAAGGCATTTGATCTAAGCCTTAATTTCTTTAATTGTAAAATGGAGATGATGCCTACATCACATGGTTGGTGAGAAAATGTGCCTCTAGTATGCCAGAGGCTTTGGATTTTGGTTTGATCCTCACCACTGCAGAGAGAGAGAGAGAGAGAGAGAGAGAGAGAGAGAGAGAGAGAGAGAGAGAGAGAGAGAGAGACCACCCAAGTGCCTGGTTCAGGACAGATACACAGCAGCCCTAAGTTCTTACCCTTCTCCCTGATTCCCTTTCCTTATATTTAGATGCCAATGCCCTTTAGCTGTTTTGTATTAAAGGGGAGGGTGCCTGGCATGCAGTAGGACATAAAGCATTGTGTTCAGGAGTGCCAGACATACCTGTATTCAGATTCTAATATTGTCATTTGATCACCTCCTCACCTCAGACACATCTACTCACCCTCACTGAGCTTCTGCCATTTATAAATGGCAAGCCCTTGTAAGCACTCACTTCATCACATCAAAGTGTGGGTGGAAAGAAACACAGCATGCAAACTGGGAAGTCTAAGTGCAAATTATTACTAGAAGTACCATTCATTGCAGCATGTGCAGAATTAGGGGCTGTAACCAATACTAGGCCAGGGGACAAGGAGGGAGGGCGTTACTTCTAAGTTAAGGCCAAGTCAGAGAAGAAAGACATGTGATAAGGCTACCTGGCAGGAGGAATGACCTTCAGAAAGGAACACAGCTAATTTGTGGTAACTCTTAGGACAGGAGCTGGAAAATACATCTCACTGTCACTCCTCTTGTCCACTGATCTCCTGGCAGTGCCCCTCAAGTAAACCCAGATGGAAGTCAGAGAGAAAGTGAGGTGGTCTTTATGCATCAGCCTCCTGGGGCACAAAGAGGGTGGGAGAGGCCAGACAGGAGCTGGAGGGATAAGGGTAAGGTAACCAGCACAAGCATACTGTTAACACATATACAGATACCATACATGTCATGCAAGAGCAACACACAATGCCTTACTGATAACAGATGCAAAATACGCACTTGGGACAGATGAACAAATGGCAGGCAGGGAAGGTGAGTGACTTTTCTGCAGTCCACAACAAGTGCAATGTGAAGCTAAGTTAGAATATGCCAGCAGAAGGCCTGTGTTCTTTCCTCAAACCACATTACCCACCTCTGGGAGTTAGCTTCTCAGCTAGCCATCACCTTCAGATCTTAGAACTCAGCTAGCAATTCCCTCTAGTGTGCTTTAGAAAACTCTTTCTCATGAAAGCCTGGCCTTTGGAACTCAGCTCAGTTTCTTTCCTCCCTGGAGAATTTGCCTGAGCTGAAGCCTGGCAATCAGCGGTCCATGCTGCAGAGCTGTGCTATTTAATCAGACCTTTGATTAACTTATTCATCTATTTTGGTTACCATCAAAGCAGGAGAGCTTGGTGGAGCCTGAACACCAGAGTGTTGGGTTAAGCCATCTAATTAGATTGCCCTGACTCTCGGTTTTATTTTTAACACACATGTGAGACACTCAGATGCATCGCAAAACAGTAAGACTACAGGAATAAATTAATCTCAACATGAGCCCAGGCCTGAATGTCGCCCCAAGTCCCCAACTTAATACATAATCAATTAAGCCCGAGTGTTCAATTAGAGGTAAAGGAAGCATTCAGATGAGTTTGCATTCAGAAAGGAAAGTCCCAGGAAAGGGCAGAAAATGAAGGCATCTTGAGGGGAAGGAATGTGTGGTAAAAAGCAGAAGCATTTATTAAAAATGGCTCATCCGAGAAGTAGCACAGCTTCTTCTATACTCTTCCACCGCCATCCTCTTCCTTCAGGTCTCAGGTTGGAAGTCCCATTGACCAGTCAACACCTCTGCATTGTCCCAGGCTGGACTGGGGCTTATAAAACTAGTTGTCTTTCTCCCTATAGCAGGCATGCTACAATACACTGTGTTTCATTTTCCATGTCCTGATCTTGAATTTGACTGGGACTCCTTGAGGTGGGTATGATAGCTTTGTTTTGTGTTAATTGATTTTTCTGTGGCAAGCAACATAGTAATTACTCAAAAATAGTTTGACAAATGTGCTTGACCATGAATTCAGCTAAGTCATGGTTCAAATCCCACCTTTGACACTGCCCTCCACTAAGGGCAGATGTGCCTATAATAGCCATAGTCCAGGGCAAGTACACGTAATAGAAAAGGCATGTTTTCCTGAGCACCAAAGCCTGTATTTTTGAACTACTGATAGGCTGTGTGACCTAAGGCAAATGACTTAACCTCCATGAGCCTTAAGTTTGCTTAACTTCAAAAACAGGGGCAGTTAATATTGACTTCAAACAATGCTGGGAGGACTACAAAGCATGCAGCCTAGCTCTGGCACACTGGGATTCCTCAAAGCCCATTACCCTTCTTCCAGCACATGTCCATCGGCAGTACCTGACCTCAGCTGATCCAGGGTTTTGAGCTTGATGAAAGCAAGGTATTATGCAATATAAAACACTAAAAGAAACATCGAGAATAGAGATGGTTTTATCAGGAGAAATAAGTCACACATCACCTTTTCCTCTGTTTGTAGTTAACAAAATCATAAACTGTTATCTGCTGGAAAATGCAAAGTCCCAAGGTGGAACTTTGACTAGAACAGCAAATTCTCAGTTTTGGGAGAAAGAAAGTGGGAAGGAAATGTCACCCATGGAACCTTTCTAGGCAGTCTTCTGGTGCAATCAGACTGGTATTGATCTCCCTCCACCCCAACCAGGGAAATGGGGTCATGGGTCAATGAAGAAATAGGCATTCTGGTCAGAGGAAGGGTGAGGAAAGCTGATGGGCCCCTTGCAAATCTACCCAGGGGTGTCCTACAGAGACAGCAACACCTGGTGGAACAATATCCTACTGTGGCTTCATCACTATAAATATGCTAAAGGGTTCATGTAATTAAAAAGATAATAAAAATGAAAGGCTCATCTTAATGGACAGACTATTATCCTTGCAATGGCTGTTAATAATTCTGAGCAGCACAGCTGAAGCTTTAATTAGCAAAAGTGCAATTGTGCCCAAGATTACCACCTACTGCACTTCCATAAAGGAGCATAAGCAATCCAGGTTTAAGGGATTCCTGTAAAGTGCAGGTTACTCTCCATGGGAAACTCACCTTCCTGTACCTAACAGATACTCCACAAGTCCTAAGCAGAGTTTCTACAAAG